TAAAGCGAACGGCACTTTTTCCCAAGTCACCAAATAAAGACCAGTAAAGACTCTCTGCCTGTGTACAATATACCATTGGAAAGCCACTGATTAGTTTATTTAAGAACTGACATCAGCAGCTATGAAGGAGTTAGTCGTTTTGAGAGAAATTGCTTTAAAATGTGACACTGAAAAAACTTCCAACACGTATCAACTCTCAAATATCATAGGTTTATCCCTAAACTAATAGCTTATTTAACAGGTCTAGTGCAAAGCTTGATGTGAAACAAGTCGTACATTTCATTTGCATCTCACAAAAGAAATTGAAAACTTGTTAGGGTGGTCAACCATGTCTTAGCGGGTTCACACATTTTTTACTTCAACGTGTAGATCTTTACAAGACAATTTTCGAGGCAAAAATTCATAGGAATCTCTCAAATATTCACAAAGTTATGACGTTGTGTGACAGTTGGAACTCTGGAGGAGAAAAGGGTTAAGCTCTTGTGAATGAGAAACTTGAAACATTTACGCCGTCCGTGGCGTTGGCCCTAGAGAAAATGTTTTTTTGTCAGCCTTGAGAAGTCTGCAGGTGCGGCAGTATAACCAGGAAAGAAATAATTTATGTTAGTTACAGTCTTCCTCTTGGTCGCACACGATAGTACACAACTTTCAGGGTTGCTACAGGTAGGGAAATGGTCACAGAAAAAAATTCTTCAGGGTCAAAAGTCAGGGAATTTTATTTTAAGTCAGGGAAAATTGACATTTTGAAGAAAAGTCAGGGAAAATTTAAATAATTTAGCACCATTGAAGGCTGGAAGAAACATTTGGGGTCACGTGATCACAATGATATTTTTAACTTAATGAAGAAGGAAAATTTGTTGAAACCTTAGCAGTCTTAATGAACGAGTGGAAAGGTCGGCCGAAAGTTGAGGCTGGAAGCCGCTACCATATCTACACATTTTGTATTTATTTGGTCAGGGAAATTTTATTTTTATCAGGAAAAAGTCAAGTAATTTTGAAAAGTGATGTCTGTGGCAACCATTAATTGTAAATCCTCCATTCCTGTAGTTACTTGTTGGTGACCATGGCTATTCAAATAATCATTTGGCGACTTATTTTTGAGCACACTGACAAGTATATAATAACCTTACTTGGATAACGTTCCTCCTCAGGCTCTCGCTGGTGAAGTAGGAATGAGTAGCGAACTGGACGAGGTTGCGCGTGCGCTGTTCAATGGTCAGATTCCTAACA